CAAGAGTGCGGCACCTTTTGATGTCCGCGTTGCATTTGCCTGTGAAATATATCCACGAAACACTGTATCAGTTCTTTAATGCATTGTTAGGTTTACACCTTCCATCAGATAAAAAGCGTTTACTGATATGATTAATATCGCCCGGGCGTTAGGAAGGTTACAATAAAAAGTATTAATTTTCAGATCATCTATAACGAGCGGTCATTAATATAATTATGCAACTTATGATAGTATATTTCCGCCGAGCGTTGCAAGTTGCAACTTGGGGTTTTGCGGAGGTGGTAAAATAAAAAACACACTTTAGGGTCAAGATACGAAGTAGAAGAGCGAAGCGATGCCAACAAATATTGTTTTAATAAAGAAAATATAGTAAAAATATCAGATAACAGAAACCCACAATATTTGCTAGGATGCAGATTTTTTTTATACAAGCTCCGTGCATTATTTGATGCATTTTAAAATGTTAATATGTTCCCATTCCCGGCAGATCAGACCATTTCGGGCTGGCCCGGAAAAGGTCAGTCCGCCGCCAAAAAAAAAGGGGGGGGGGGGGGGGGGGGGCCCCCCCCCCCCCCCCCTAAATCCGCGCCTGCTTACTGCAAGTAATTTTTATGCCATTTACAAATGGACGACGTCATATACATAGGCATGAATTATGTTGTATTTAGTCCGACACGTACCTGATTATTCATTAACTCGTCCGTTACGAGTAACTGTGAGCTATTGCTGTGCCCCGGCGTCACGTCAGTGTCTCACTTGAAAACTGTGGTTGTTTGCTTCCCACACCCTTACACAGAATGTGATGTGCATTTATGTGGGGCTTGGGTTTGACATAGTGATGATAAACTGTCTGAACGTATTTTGTATATCTTTATAAATTTCAGCCATGCATGATTTTGTATCCACCTCTTTCCTGCGATCTCCCAATTAAATGACATTCAATTCACATTTTTTTTTTATATATTTTGAATATTACAATAAAACGATTACGGTAAGTTGACAATACTGACAATGCAAAAACATCTTAATATCCAATTTTATAGTTATAAAAGGTCACTGACAAAGATACACGATCTAATTTCATTACAGAGAGAAACAAAAATGTAGGTGTGTCTCAAATTCTATGTTTTTACAGGAAGAGGCCAGTTTTTTGTCTTTGAAAACATAATTCTCAACGCCGAGCGAGGGAGGCGAAATATTTATTCTTAGGTTGGACCTGATAATATCTACATAACATTTCCCATGTTCACTAAATACAACATTACACCGGCGTGTTATACTTGATACTTATATCTCAATGATTTACAAATGACAAAGGTTTTGTGCAGTTTTCTTCATGGACATCTCGATATCCAAGGGTTACGCTCACTTTCGCTCTCTACAACCCTGGAATATGTCAGGTCCCTATAGGGCCCCGCCCCTCTGCCCCCAGGGGGCCACACCCACTCTATAAACAAAATTGAGCCGCCTTGGCCTAAGAATGCTCCAGACCAAATTAAGTCAAAATCTACAGGGCCTTTCAGGATAAGTAGCGGTTTAAAGGAAAAGTTGATGGACGGACGTCGGACAGACGGACGACGGACGCTGCGGTATGGCATAAGCTCACCATGGTCCTTTGGACCAGGTGAGCTAATAACACTATGGATGTGTACGCCATTATTTTAATTCTTTTCCAGTTTATTCTTCTTGAAATTATGATTTTGCTTCTGTGCATGTGTCAGACATTGCTTGTTCATGGATAGTACTTCAGTCAATGAAGCCATATCTGAGTCTGGAGAAAAGCCCAAACTGTCACAGTATCAAACTGTCATTTCGAAGTTATAATGTCTATCAAGTTTCAATGATTTCCAATTGGAAATGAACCAAATAACCCCAAAAGTATAATTTTCTATATAACTTTAGTAAACTTTACCCCATCCCCAGGGAATAAAGTGCTTTAAGACCTTTCTATCTATGTAGATCATTTGTTTCCAGCATATCTTGGTCTGGATAAGATTTTTTAATTTAAGCCAATTTGACCCCATCTATGACAAGTATTGGTTTCCATCCTATCTCAGTCTGGAGAGGTGACTGTTGAAATTTCTGGCTATATGACCCCATTTGGGCTCAGCCCCTCAGCCCCTGGGGATGAGATAGGGTTAAAAATGTCAAAGTATCAAACTGTAATTTCATTGTTATAATGTAAATCAAGTTTGAATGATTTCCAGTTGAAAATGAACAAAATATACCCAAAAGTTGGATTTTCCTACATAAACTATAATAAATTTCACCCTCTCCCCAGGGGCAAAGTATCAAACCATCATTTCATAGTTATATGGCTGTCAAGTTTCAATAATTTCCAATTGAAAATGAACCAAACATACCCAAAAGTATCATTTTCCTATATAAAGTATAGTAAACTTCGCCCCCTCCCCAGGGGCAAAAATGGAGTCGGGGGGTCATGAAATTCACAATTTTGATAAAGCACCTCAAGACAATTCCATCTATGACGAGTATTGGTTTCCAGCCTATCTCGGTCTGGAGAAGATGACTGTTGAAATTTCTGGCTATATGACCCCATTTGGGCTCAACCCCTGGGGATGAGAAAGGGTTAAAAATGTCAAAGTATCAAATTGTAATCTCATGGTTATAATGTAAATCAAGTTTGAATGATTTCCAGTAGAAAATGAATAAAATATACCCAAAAGTTGGATTTTCCTACATAAACTATAGTAAATTTCATCCCCTCCATGGGCAAACGTGAAGCTCGAGGGTCATGAAATTCACAATTTTGATAAAGTACCTCATGATCAAGACCCTTTCACCTCTGAAGAGTATTGGTTTTCAGCATATCTGGGTCTGGAGAAGAAGATTTTAAAAAATTAAGCCAATTTGACCCCTTTTAGCCCTGCCCCTTAGAGCCCCTGGTGGTGGGAACCATTTAATTTACATTTTTTGAGTATATTTGACCAAGGAAGGTTCCTGCAAAAGTTTATTGAAATGGTATCAGCGGTTTCTGAGAAGAAGTCGAAAATGTAAATTGTTTACGGACGCACGACGGACGACGCATGATGACGGACAAAAGGCGATTAGAACAGGTCACTTTAGACTTCGTCTCAGGTGACCTAGAAACCATAAACTTGAATGATTTTGACCAAAACATCAATGTAACGAAGATCAATCAACAGTAAACTACAGTATCACTTCTCCCCAAAGGCAAATGAGTTATCCTCAATAATGAAGAGTATTTGATTCCAACACCTGAACCCAAAGAAAAAATGTTGTTAAATGTAAGAGAATTTTACACCTGCAAAGTATATAAGCCACGCCCTAATTAGCCCCTGGAGGAACCCCAGGGTAATTACAGTCATACAACTTAGCAAATGTTAGACTTAGTTACAACGTAATATACCCGACTACTAGAAAATTAAGGATATTTAGATACTTGCTTAAAGATGAAACAGAGTGCACGTGACAACTGTATATTAAAATCATGTTATGATGAATGTGTTAATGTAAATGATGGCTGGATAGTTCATATTAAGCATGAGTTGTCTAGTCTTGGTTTGGAATATGTTTGAAAACAAATAAATGTATCAAGGTCATCTAAAGGCTATTTATTCCAGCACCTTATTGATAATTTTGTCTTCAATTTTACTTATGTAAATCTATAGAACCAAAGTACAAACGTTTTATTACATGTTTTAGATTGTCGTTTCGTAACTTAAATATTGAAGTGGGTAGACGGAACATTGTTGTTCGACAGAATAGATTGTGTACACACTGTGCTTCCGGTAATAAAAGATGAATTTCACTTTATCCTAAAATGTTCATTATATCAAGACCTGAGATGTAAATATATCAAGCGATTCCATCACAGAAGTCCTAATGTTTTTAAATTAACGAAAGTATTGAGTACTAAAGTAATACTGTAAAAGAATTATGTAATCGCGGAAAGTATTTATAATCAATGTCTGATATGGAAAACCACTTATGTACTTTGTAAGCCCACTCTCCACTTAACTTAAATTTGTTTAATAATTTCTTATACATGTACTACATGATGTAATTGTTCGACATTTAACCTAAAAGTCGGATGGCGGTGTCTCGAAAAGAAAGAAACTGAAACTGGTATTAATACACGCGTTTGTGTAACATGTATGCAAACCCAGCTGTGTATCATCCCCACTTTTTACACCTGATTTAGCAATCTCATAATTGGAATCAAAACTCATTGAACATGTTGTTTATATGTTTGTATTGTACATGTCTGCATATATTGACAAAAACACGTCGGGGGTACAAAACGTGGGATATATAGTCTAGCTGTTGTTTTTTAATAAATAATTAACAATTATTGTGTTATTTACAAATGAAAGCAGTCATGTACACATACCACACAGCTAGTAAAGACATTGAATAAAGCTAACTCAGTTGGTATATATAAGTTCTAGTAAATTAATAAATCCTCTGTTCTTGTTCGCCCCCCATGTAAAAATGCTTGCAACAAAAAGGATTTAAACTAACCGAAACTAAATCGTGCCTTCCGTCATCCAGTTATATTTTATTTATATGAGAATTATCGACGGAATAGTTTCGAGATGTATATGACCGTGACTCGGTCCATCCTTATTCTTGAGTAGCTATTTATAGGTAATCCTATTTATAGGCTAAATGAAAACCCCCCCAGTAGACATGTAGTTACAGTACTCAATCGTATAACATATCCAATATAACAGGCATTGAAAATATCCTAATCCTAATCCTAACAGAAATTTCATAGATGTACTTTCCAAAACAACATCATATAAATTAGCGCAAGATTTCAATTCAGACAACGATTATGTTAGAAATTTCGGGATTACAAAACTGTGTAAGCTATAAATAGAACAGTAGTTCTACCGGCATCTACGTATATATATACGTACTGTAAATTATTCTCTGCTGATGTTTTGTCCAGTAACTGCTTTTTCATGTGAATTAATTTGGAAGTAATGAAATAATCCAGATATTTACCTAGTAAATCACACCGATCCGATCGTCTCTTCTTTCCAACACGAACTCAAGTCCAGGTGTGCCAGCCTCTTTGCCAGTATACTACAGGGATTTGCAACTCGCGCATATCGAGACACGTCGCGAGACTTGGGTTGCGGTTGTCCATTCACTATGGGCGGCACCACGTTTTAGGATAAAATACATGGCGACGATGGTCTGTGCAAGGTATTACCTGTGTATTTGTCATATCGGGTCAACATGTCATCAATAATTTGGGTAAGTGTAGTGCTTTTGAAAGATAACTTGTATTTTATAGATTTTATTTCACGACAGTAGATCGCAAAATAATCAGCAGTGCATTATGTGTTTTGTAAATGGCATCATCAGATTTTTTTATCGTGGGATAACGATATAGATTTAGACTTTCTATTAGAAGAATATACTGGCAACGAGAGACTCGATCGAAATAGAAGTGATAGTGAGTTTGAGGTAGTTCAGCAAAAGAAAGCCAAAATCGGTTCCGGGTTGTTTCGCCCCAAATCCCGTTCTCCCTAGGTTGTTTCGCGCCAGGCTGTTTCGGCCTAAAACAAAATTATTAGGGCGAAACATTGTTTGGTATTTTCTTTTCATTTTTATTTGTTTTAAGTCACAAATTAAGTCTTCTTAGTGTTTCATATCATTAAAATCAGTTTTATTAAAAAAAATGTGTTTGTGTTGTTGTTATAAAGTACATTGTAAAGCAAAAAACGGATTGCATTATTTTCTTCACGCCGACACACTTTATAACATATATATTAATTTTGGAAATAAATAAGAATAGTGAAATGAAACAAAAATGGTGTAATTTTATTTACACTGCGGGATATACAACAATATTATTTTCCCATGTTAACACATTTACTTATAGAAATTAATTTAGTTTCATTATATGTCCATATCTTATCATTATATTCTATTTTGACAGGTATTTCCTTGGCCATGTACAAGGTGGCACGGAACTACACATCGTTTGTAGACCGTGTTAGAAGTTGTATAAGTATTTACTATTTTACATTTTTAACGGTAAAACATGTAAAGGTGCATTTTATAAAGAACAACCTTACTGGTTGTAATGTGCAGTATATTCCGAATATTAGTATGTCCGTTGTCGCCGCTGAGTGTCGGCTTGGGTGATGAATATATACAGGTTCGTTCTTCATCTTCCGGCACGTAATTATACGTAAATTATATCTGGATTCACGAGAAAGATTTTTTTTTTTTTTTAACTTTTAACATGTATTTATATAATATATAGATTCGGGTAAGCATATACATAAGGGGCACACATATTTCACATCTCTTGTTAAATATATAATAAGTGACAAGTATTTGATGCAATGTTGTTCAGAATTAAACAACTGAATAAAATAAGAAAGTGTCAAGGTCAAAATATTGAAATAGAAGGTCACTGAGTTCATATGTCTTATCTCCTTAAAAGTAAATATTTAACAATTGGCATTTTTTTGGTTTCCAGGGTTCAGTGTTAAAAGATTTTGTAATGAGTAAATGAAACATTACATGTTCTGATTTTTTCCAGGAAATGTATCTTCCTCTTACAAATTAAAGAAAAAATCATAGAGTTTAATGATAATCAATTAACAAATACAGTACCTGTATGTAGTATATTTTGCCATCTTTGAATTAGTCTTGATCATCATTAGTTTGATAAATTTTCATAGAAAAAAATGAAGATGTAAATGAAGATTTCTTGTTTCCTGAAAGTGAGGGAATTACATAGTAGAGGAAAACATACATGAGTCATACCAACACTTGTGCATACTTCTATTTCAGCAAGTGATCATCGACTACAAGATAAGAATTCTGCTTCAGCATCAGCATCTGATACTCCACCATCTTTAAAGAAGTCAACAGGGAAACATTTTCTTGACAAAGATATCTTCTTTTTAGTTTTTCCACTACTTTCGAGGAAAGTGTAAAAGTCATAGAGAGTGATAGTTTGAATAATTTATTTGCACCTTCAGTTGTTGAAATTGCAAATTTTGTGAAGAGTAACTCTAATATAAAATCTTATTTCCAAGACTTATTTGCTTCCTTGTTCACAGATAATATTAATTTGTGTTTAGCTGAAGACCGCGAGTCATTTTTTAACAAGTTACACTGTGTTCGAGTTCGTGTTAATACCGAAAAACAGTTGCAGGATTTATTTACCAGCCAAGCGTGTGATAGCAGTGGTTGTGATATAAACAACTTTGTTCAGCAGTTACTTTTAGGACTTGTGGAACAATTATTAACTTTACAAGTTGGGTACTATAAAGATATATCTGTAAATCAGCAATCTGAATTTTCAGATTCTGATCAATCCATTGATATCAATTGATATAACTTTAATTGACATCCCTAACTGTACATGTCATTATCCCTAACTGTAACAGTATAATAATATAACTGAAATTTACATCCCTTATTGTTTCAGTACACAAAAACAATTTACATCCCTGACTGTACAAATCAACATCCTTAACTGTACCGGTACAATAGTACAACTTATATTTACAACCCTGACTGTACAGGTCAACATCCTAGCTGTAACAGTACAATAAAACAACTTAAATGTACATCCCTGACTGTACGTGTCAACATCCCTAACTGTACCGGTAAAAGAAAACAACTTAAATTTACATCCCTGACTGTACAGGTCAACATCCTAGCTGTAACAGTACAATTATACAACTTAAATATACATCATTGACTGTACAGATTATTCCCTGACTGTACATGTCAACATCCCTTACTGTACCGGTACAATAGTATTAACTTAAATTTACATCCCTAACTGTACAGACCAATATCCCTAACTGTACCGGTACAATAATACAACTTAAATTTACATCCCTGGCTGTACAGATCAACATCCCTAACTGTACCGGTACAATAATACAACTTAAATTTACATCCCTGGCCGTACAGATCAACATCCCTAACTGTACCGGTACAATAATATAACTAAATTTGACACTCCTGACTGTACAGGTAATTATCCCTAACTGTAACAGTATAATAACATAACTTAAATTTACAACCTTTATTGTTTCAGTACAATAAAACAATTGACATCCCTGATTGTACATGTAGAATAATATAACTTATGCGTGTAGAAAAAATTAAAGATCATAATCTGTATGAGCATTTAGCTCGAAGTCCGAATGTGGGTCATTGTTAAACCTATCCAAAACTAGATTTAAAACAGTTGACGGAAACAATTGGTATCAAGAACTGTGGAACGATATGGGACAAATTAATGGAAACAAACTACGGACTTATCGAACGTATATACTAGTATTTAATGTGGTCAATTTTAGACATAGGCAGTTGTTAACTAACTTCCGTTGTGGTGAATCGTCCTTTTGTAGCTCTTAACGATAACAAACAGTCATCCTCGATTTCCAGGGGTTACGATCACCTACGCTCTCTACGGAGTGTAGAGAGCGTAGGTGATCGTAACCCCTGGAAATCGTGTAGAGAGCGTAGGTGATCGTAACCCCTGGAAATCGAGGATGACAAACAATCAGAATCGGTATAAGATGAACTTCATTCCTTGGTAGACTGTGCATTTTATTCTGACTAACGTCATTTCGTTGTGAGGTGTATATTTACTTTTAATTTGACAGATGTAATTGTTATACAGGTAAATGAATAATGATACTTATCACCAACACCAGAAAAAACATAATGGGCATATCTTCTCATACAGTGGTACCCTAGACCATCGGCTAGTTTTAATAGGTAATGTGTATTAAATGTTCTGAATTAACACACAGTTTTCTATTTTGGCACTTGAGTTTCACATAATATGGTCTAAAATTCAAATTGAGATTTGAGTATAGCGTATGTTTGATCACGTAATGAATTTAAAAATACACAGACAGGTCAATAAAAACCTATTTTCAAAAGGCATTCGATACTGTTTTGCATACAACATATTTCCGTATCATTGAGATGGACTGAAACATAAACGGAGAGAGATCTTAACCCTTGACCCTGCTTTACCCCGATACTACAGAAATCAGATGTAGTATCCATGTTTGTAACCTTCGATTTTGTATTCGTGTAAATGTTATACATCACTTGAAAGATTTCCCTGTAATGTTGCTTTTTATTACATTTGCCCATAAGCCTTTCTTCACGGCAGTGTTATATGCTTTATTATCATCTTTATTTCCTCCAAATGAAGATCATAATATATTTCATATCAATAAAAACAAAATAATACAATAGCAAAATCAAAACAATGGATAATTACATACATGTCACAAAAAATTGTATATATGTTATTTATTGGACATATGGTAAGGTATGCGTACATTGTACAATAAAATTCACCCTAACGGTGATATGCGCATGTGAAACAATAAAGAAAGTGTCATAAATAATTTTGTAGTAACTAATTAAACATATCGATACATGTATACAGAGTTATTTCAAATCAGCTGCTGTAAATTGATAACATTTTATAGACATATGCCACAGAAGTAATTCTAAATTCTTCCAATTAATTATTTTCTAACCTGAAGTTAACTTATCGGAGAGAGTTTCTATATACAGTAGTTTATGCAACAGGAAGGGATAAGTGACTGGTTAGTTTGATTTTGCTATGAGTCCCTCCAAGGGATAACTGTTGTGATTCTGTCGGTACTCGGGGTCAAATGAGATACGTGCGCTATTAGATTTACTAACTTATATTATTCACGGGTTCAGTAAATTGGTATGATTTAATTATATTGGTGAATTAAACGATATTTTTTTTGAATTTACATGCAGGATTTAATTAGTACTATGAATACCATCCGGCCTCCTCTGCCGTGACGACGCAATATATATAAAAAAATTATATCAAAATGACGGGCCAGGATGAAAAATTGAGGAAGATTTCTTAACATCGAGCAGCTAATTGCATATAAGGATTTTGTTGTTATTGAACGGAGTAATAAGTATATAGAGGACACATAAATATATATGCATGGTCTAAAAAAATAAATGGCCAAAGACATTGAGTTGTACGATGTTATAAAAAAATCACAAACGTTTCTCTTTTTTATATACACTTTATGAATACA